CGAGCGGCAGAGGTGCCGTTATCGGCTAATCGCCCGCTCCCCGTGGGAGTGTGTAAACTTTCCTGAAGATCGGTCTGTGCTGTCTGCCGCATCTGCCCTACCGCAGGCTCTTTTTGTGTAGTTTTGAGTTACCGGCTTTATTCTTATTGTTTAGACTTCTGAGGGTTGGGCCTGCCCCCCCAGCCCCCCATCTCTGCACCCACTTGGGTTTGTTATTTTGTAAGGAAGTTGCATGGATAAGTAAATTCCTATTCTACTTCTTACAGTGGCTGTAGGATGCTGTATGAATGTATCTCTTGGATAAAAGATTTCCGTGGGACTTCTGACTTTTTAGGTTCTCCACAACAGACACCTACAGGATACCTCCCTTTTCCCCAGCTTCACCTCCCCTCCTGCAAAATAATGCCTCCAGTAATGGGTGATTGATCCTGGGGGCTGGAAAACAGTTGAAAGTTTCTTGAGCAGAGGATCTGGTATCTCCAGTGAGCATCTTAAAGATGTATTTTCTGTAGTTTTTCTTGAGTCCAAAGCACTTCAGCGTGTTCGATGAGGTTTTACAGAGCTTGTGTACTTCTCTTGTGGGTTTTCTTTGTGTGTCTGAAATTTTCTTGACGGATAAATATAAATCCTAATTTATAAAAATACAAGTTTCTAATCATACAGGCCACACAGCAAAACAAACTTTACATGAGAAAGTATAGCATATAGGTCACTGCCCTTTGTTGGAAATACAGGTGAGGCCCTAATTCCTGTAAACATGCAGTAGCTCATGAAACTTACTCAGGCAACAAATAGAAATTAGAATCCAGGTTACTTTCCGTTCTTTGGTGCTGAACAATGTCTCGTACACCGAGGCTGTCCCTCTTTGCTTGAGTGTCGTTGAACTTGCACTCTTCTTTTAGATTCGAAAGCCTGTCATCTAAGAACTCAGTAAACCAGTGTGCGAGCTGTATGAGCGTGTAAAACATGCTGCTTTAAAGATAAAATAAAGGTGCTGTCAGGGGAAGCACCATGTTGGATACCTCTGTGGACATTAATAAGCACAAATGCAAATGAATCCAAATTTTGGAGTGAAGAAGCACTGAATGAGTTTCTTCTTTTGTCATTTTAGGGTACATGTAACACTTCATTTTTTTCAGACCAAGCCTGTGGAAAACATACCTGTATGTAATAATCTGTGTTTTGGAGTACGTGTGTTGCATTTTGGTAGAGAGAGTGCATTATCTCCTTGTCAGTGATTCCGTAGGATATCGCTTTTTGTGATCCAATCTATAAGATTTTGACAAAGCTGACAAGCAGGATTCTGCCAACAGTATGTCTAAACACTCTTTTATAAGTCTTACTCATTTGTTAGCTTTTTAAACGTGGAAAACAAATATCGAGCTGGTTTTAAGTCGCTTTTTTTTTTTTGGTTCCAGTGAAATGTAGCTTGGTACTTGGGAAACTGGGTTAGTTGCTTTTGGGTGCTTTAACTGGAGAGATGAAAGCTGAATTTCGAGTGTTCAGAATTCTGGGTCTGTGGTATAGCTGTGTAACCCTGTTCAGCTTTTTCAGAAAATGAATATTTTTAAATTAACAGGATAAAAAGCGCAGGGTAATGTTTTCTTACATTTGTGAGAAAGCAGACATAATTTAGGGGGAGGTCTAGAGATTAAATGCTTCTGAATATATTTCTCAGGTTCATTTTATTTCTGCAGTCTTTAGAAATGTATAAATAGTGTTAATGTGTGGTGATACCAAAAACACAAATGCAAAGAACACAGGCTTGGAAAGAAGACTTTCAGATACCCTTGTAGAGTGCTTTCAGAGTAATTTAATCCGATTGTGAAAAGAATGTGAGTTTCCTTTCTGGCCATACCCTGATGCTTTTTGGTCTGTTTGCATATCGAGTAATTTTTCAAGTGTTAAATTATTTGTAATTGAATCAGTATGCAGAAACACAGTATTTGCTAATTTAGTTTTTTCCGTCTTTGTTGTTGTAACATCAACATCCATGCATCATCAAGTAAATATTGGCATTATTTTTAACTTCACCGTGAGCCTTAAAAAATCTAATTATGCAGAAGTGCTTCAAGAAGTTAGCTCATGTCAGGCTCTAGTATTGCTGTAGTGACGTGCCTTCTCCTGCCTGTTAGTGCAGTGGAAGGCATAAAGCTGTGAGAAGGTTCTTGATAATCTTGTTTCTTGGGAAGTTACTCTTCTTATAAATTCAAGATGATGAGGGCCACTTAATGAATTTTTATGTGTTCTATAAATTATTTGCATTCTCTAAAATACGAATTTGCCTGTTAGATTGGAGGATAGCTGGTTTTTATAGTAGTAATTCTTATTCCTGGAAGTCAGTAGAACCTGTGCGTGTGTTCAAGGAAATCCCTGATCTTCCCTTTAAGATTTACTTTCGCTGCCGTCAATACAGTGATAATATAATCTGAATATAAAATAAAACAGGTTGACCCAAGTGAATGTGTATGTATATAGCAAATTATTTCCACCAAAGCAGAACTACTTGCGTTTTAAATTATTTTGTTAGTATATTTCTAACCCATCACTGTGATTTATATTGAGCTACTGAATATGACCTGAGAACAAGGATCTTTTGGTATTGTTTTCTACTTGTCTTGAATAATTTTTTTTCCTGCTCCCAATTTTTTTAAGTTAAAATTTAAAAAAAAAAAGAAAATTTGTGTCTCTCTCCTTCAGAAATCATTCCTCCTGTCTACTGAGAAGGGATTACAGAATGGCCTTGTTTTGTTTTTTCTTTAGAAGAATACAGTGTAGTAATTCTTTTGTGTTTAACACTTAAGAACTCTCCATTGCCACTGCAAAAGGGTGTGACTAGTTTATCCAGATTGGCACATTTTTTTGTGCAAATCAGCAAGATCTGAAATCTATGCATTCTTCTTATGAGTGTGCGTCACCGGCTAGTAAACTGCTTTCCAGTTAGAGAAGAAAGCAAATGAAGCTGTTGGTAAAGCAAAGGCAACAGAGAGAGGACAGGCACCTTCTGACGCAGGAGTTTGTAGTAAACATGGCAAGTCGAACGGTTACGACTCGGTCTGTGATTGTCTCTCGGTAGTAGTTTATGCCGACAGAAACTTAATGACATTCCCCTGCTTTCGATGAGAAAAACAGTGAGCGATACTGGTGTTACGGGCGTCTGACAGCCCTGAGAAGCGGGCAGGTTTGCCTGTGCAAATCTCAGCACACGGACCCGTGGGTTTTTGGTGCCCATCGCCATTGTAGCGCAGCCCAGACGTGTTGCAACTCTGCTCTACTTACGGCTGGGTTTTACCTTTTTGTTTTCCAGCAGAAATATCAAACCCAACGGTGGCTTTTCTTATTCAGATGAGTCTAACGTAGACAAAGGCAGAGGAGGACGCTTTCATTGCACTTGTGGCCGATTCTGACAGCAAGGCTCAGGTCAGCAAAGCTGTAAGCAAGTTTGAGGAGGATGATACTTTCTTTCTGGAGAGATGTAGAAGCAAACAAACACCAACTACTTCACCCTGTGCCAAGAAGCACGTACACTTAGGCATTTTCACTTTTGAACTAGCAGTGTCTGCCCGCTGAGGGGATTGGGACCTCAATGATGTATTTTAAGATGTGTTGCTAGTAACACATGAAAAGTTTGTGATGCGCGGTGAGTTTAAGTTACTTCTCTTAGATGAGAAGAGCAGCTCTCGTGCTCACTGAAAAGTTGGTACTGCTGAATTGTGTGCCCTGAAAAGGTTTCTATTGCAGTGTGTTAGTCATAGATCCTTCTAAAATTTTGTTCCTGATGCCATTTGACTAGCCACAGTGTATGTGAAATACCTAAAATGGTAACATTTTATCTTCTCATCTCTGCCCTCATCTGAGGGTAGTTACTCATCTGCTGCGCTGCTTGGTGAGCCTTTACACTCAAAACTTGTTCTGGATGCTGTGCTGGACTCTTGGGGGGTTTTTTTGCTTCTGGTTTTGAAGTTCAGTAGCAAGAGTTTTACTGCATGCACAGGTAGTGCATTTTCTACAAGTTCATTTCCTATAATAAACAGTTGTAAGGATGAGAGGAAAGAGTTGTAGTAACTTTCTCCTCTAATGCCTGCTGTAGTTGTTGTGTTTCCTATTTATTTCTTTTCCCTGCAAGTTTTATGTTAGTACCCAAAGTTTTACGTTAATGTTCAGACTTTTTTTGCCTAAAGAACTAAATACTGCCTCTGGGTGCATGTTTATTTAGATATATTGTAGTACTGTAAAGAAAAGGGACACATAATTTTCAAGTGACCAATATTTATAAAACTGGAAGTTAAATTGCCTTTTGTTGGTAACACGCTGATTGCACTTTTTTTTCTTCTGTAGCACTGAGACGATTGAAGTGGCATTCTAAGGTCATTTAAAATCATGACAAGCTCAGTTGGACAGAAAAAAGTCTCTTCAAGACAAAAGAAGTGTGGGTTTTGTAGATCTAATAAAGATAATGAATGTGGGCAGTTACTAATGTCAGAAAACCAGAAGGTGGCAGCGCATCACAAGTGCATGGTGAGTAACCCGCAGCCCCGAGCTGAGGGACCTAGTGGGCTCCTAACAGGCTCCCAACACGTGAAACAGTCGGTCCGGCATTGGCACAGTGATTAATCCCTATAATTTGATATTTTGGTGGGTTTCATATCTATAAATGTTCTATATCGCTTATACCCTTCACACTTAAAAAACAAGTTTTGTTTTTATAATTTTAGCTGTTCTCATCTGCACTGGTATCTTCACACACTGATAATGAGAGTCTTGGTGGATTCTCTATTGAAGATATTCAAAAAGAAATAAAGAGAGGCACTAAACTGGTAAGTCCCTATTTTTGGCTCTTGAAAAGGGAAGATTACCTTGTATAAAGTTTTACCATGAAGTTGTCCAGTGTCAGATATATATATATGTATGTATATATATATGTATAAATATATATATTTGAAGTGCTACCCTTGTGTGACATTTAGGGTAATGGACAATTTAGAGAAGATGATGCTGAAGTAAAATAGGTCTTAGATTTATGAAAAGAAAACCTCAGTAGATATATTGAAACGGAATTGACAAGCTCTTGAAGTGTCTTTAGGAAAGGATGAAAAGTTTGTTTATTTCAGCCAAGTTCTGCTCTCATATGAATATGTTAGGAACTGTAGTTTCATCCTGGAATTATTAAAAATAGTAATTCTGGATTTATTTTTTACACTTTCTTCCTCGTTGGCAAATGTAGATGGTTGTAGCAGAGATGCTTTTTTTCAAAACAAATTTGAAAGCTCATTTACAGAATATGCTCGTTTTTCTTTTTGATGGGCTGCATATAAACAACAGCATTTCCTAAATTTATGTTTCAAATCCAGTAATTTCTATTTAGTATTTTCTGTTAGATTTCAGAAAGAAACTCAAGTTCCGTGGACCTGGTGTGAGGGTATTATTGTGTCTTTACCAGCATTTGGGTTTGCTGCCAAAATCTGATTTTTAACTACCAAAAGCGCTTGTACTGCTGCCTTTTATATTGATTTAATAGATGATTCTGTGAATACAGATGTCTTATGAGATACGTGGGTACAGTAGTGATTACAGCTCTACCAAATTCATGAGAATTGAACAGCAATAACTTCTTTTTAATTCCGGAGAAGATATTTATTTATTTTAAATTTAGAACTAGTTATTTTCTATTTGGGGAAATGAGTGAGGCTTTAAAAAAATATTTTTAACAAAGTTTCAGTTGACTCCTCTCTTTAAAAATTTTCAGCTTAGTATTTAAAGCACTCTTACATATTTACCAGTTCTGGGACTACTAAAAGTAGTGTAGAACTACAATTCTTGTTATTGGATATAGTGTAGTCTAAGATTATATATCCACACTTTCACTAATGTTACATATGTGTGTATAATTGGATATAGTTTAGTCTAAGATTTCATCCAGTGTTTCATTTGAATCTTTTCCAAGGCAGGGAACTTCATTGGCTCCAATTAGGTGAAGCATAAAGAAATAACTATTCACAAGTCATTCATGTTGTGATTAGGAATTTCCAAAGAATGTGGTAGTAAATGGACCTTCAGATGGCAAAGAAACTTTTTGCTTCTTGGGTCTCTTTAGTTGTTTTTTTTTTTGAAGGTTATTTCTTTTTATGTCATTGGTGGTTTCTGTCATTCTGAATCTCTTAATGTTCCTTCACCAGTGCAACAGCTGGATATATTCTTGGACCTCACCAGCTCTACGTATCAGGCGCTTTCTTCAGATTTTTGTGGCAAACCTGGATCTGGTTAACCTAGTAGATTCATAGCCCTGAGATGTTTCCCATTTGGAGAGAATTTAGAAGACAATTTTAGTTCCTAACTTAGGTGCCTCAGCTCTGCCTGTAGCTGTCAGCTCTGAATCACTCCCTGGAGATACCTGTCTTTCTCCATTGACTGGTATAGGAAGCTTAAAGCTAAATGTTTAGAGTTAGCCCAAACATCCCCTTGAAGGTCTGCTTTCTCTTCTAGCCTGTTCTTTTATGTGGTAACACGTGGAGCAAAAATATCTCAGCGTGGTTCACTGGGTTAAGTAATTATATTGATAGCTTGGACTAAAATTGTCTGCTGACAGATTTTACGTAGCTGCCCTCCTTCAGGAGTTGCTGCTGCTGACCAGGTATGCACTGAAAACTGAGACCTCTTCATTGCAGAAGTGATAACGACTGAGTGTAGAGCCTTTCTGATGGTAATATATTATTGTCTGAGAAAAATTTGTCAGTTCAGACCTTAATAGGCCAGTCATAAAAACTTACAAAGCCTAAATATTTTGGAGTACAAGGCACTGATATCATTATTATTTCTGTTAGCTGTGCATGGAAAGTTTCTTTTTTTTTAAAGACCTTACCTATTTTGCAGCTTGTCAAACTTCACATGTACCTGGTGTAACTTGGGAATTAATTAATCTGTTGACAGTAACCACTTGGACAGCAGGACTTGTACCAATGGAATAAATATTTTATTACTGAAAGGAAACAGACCAATAAATCAATATAAAAAGTCCTGTGGTCTGTTTTGTTCATATGGATACATCATGGTGTTCATAAAAAGGAAGCTTTCTTTTTTGTCATTTCTGGCTTTCAGAATACTGAGGTACTGACTAAAATTGATTGGCTGGATATATTTTCAAGCATTATTACATATTAAACCATAACATATAACAGATTTGAGATGAAATACCCATACAAATTAAATTACAACTAGGGAACGGTATATACCATTTCAGAGCTTGCAGAGGAGTAAATGGAGATGATCCAAGGCTTTGACATTTTCACTATTCGATTAACTTTGTTTAAAATGGAAAACCAAGATGGTGATACAGAACTTTGGTGGTATATTTATGTGTCATATTTGAGACTAAAAAGAAGAACTTGACTAAGCTGGTTCGGTGGACAGAAAATGTATTCCACAAAGATGCATGTAGGGAGTATCCTACATTGCTCACTTACGCTTACGGATTTGGGGTTAATTGTAATCTTTTGGGGGTGTAGGCAACACGCAGGATACAAACAAAAAGCTCCAGTTGTCTTGGAAGAGGAGTTTAATGGGAAATTCTGAGATTTTTGGGCAATGTTATGTCAGTAAAAAATAATACAGAGAAAAATACTGTGATACTATCAATTGCATCCCTTCCTACCACAGTACAAGAAGGGCAGTGAACAGGTCAGAAGCATGATAGTTGGTGTATGCTAAGCAGTGATGCATCTAACATGAGAAGGAACTAATTACTGGGACAGAAGTGTAAAACAACAAGCTCCCATTTAACCCTTTTTTTCCTGCAATATAAGTATAAAGAGCAAAATCTAGTCTAATTGAAATAGATCTGTTGTATTTAACAAACATTTCACTAAATTCAGTGTTCTGGAAATGACTTAAGGAAATAACTGTAGAAAAAAGAGGTAAAGTTAGCTGCTGAGGCTAAGGTAAATTTGCAGGTCATCAGTATTTCTGACTGCAAGATTCACTGCCAAACGGGTGTCATTCTGCACACACACACACACCCCTCCCCCAATGTAATTCAGAATCAAACAGCTACAATTTATGATTAACTTTTCTGAAGTGGTTGGTACAAACAGAGTATCCTTGGGTGTAGGATATTTAGGTGAATAGCTGCGTCGCTTTCATGACACACATTCCTCAAAAGTAAATTACTTATTTTCCTCATTGAATTGATAATGAGAGTATTATGGTTGTACTGTTGCATAATTGCAACTTATTTCCTCTAGAAGTTATGAAAAACACCTGAGAGTAGGAAGAGTGGTGCCACGTACATAACTCCACTTATTTTGTCATCCGGAGCGGTAACTATATGATTTTTGAACTAAGCAATACTAAGCCAACAGAAACATGAATTATGTTTTCTTTTTCTTTGCAGATGTGCTCTTTATGCCATTGTCCTGGAGCAACCATTGGCTGTGATGTGAAAACATGTCACAAGACATATCACTACTACTGTGCTTTGCATGATAAGGCTCAGATAAGAGAGAAACCCTCACAGGGCATTTACATGTAACTATTCTTTATTTACTATGTTTATTTTTGTAATTATATTTCACATTCTTTAACTACAACAAAGCGAAACAAAAAACCCCACTTTGGAATCTAAACAAAACTGTTGCAAAAAAATTAATGATGATTGTGGCGTTCAAAATAGTGATGTGCTAGAAAAGCATATTTTCACTGCAAGATTTGTATATCAGTGAGTCTTACAAGTGGGAGAAAAATGTACTGGCATTTAAATTTAAAAGATGAGTAAATAATCTGTGAATCGTGACTGACTTGACAGTTTTCAACTACTTTGTTTATAGGATTTTATGTCGAAAACACAAGAAAACTACGCATAACTCTGAAGGTAAAATTATTCAATATAAATTTTTCCCATTGTAGAAAGATACTTGGTTAAATTTAATTTTTTTCTGGAGAATATAAATGTTTTCAGTAAAAATTAGAACTACATTTTTTTCGAGAATCAATGAGTTTGGAAGGCCATCTGATTTCTGTATTTTCTCAAAAAATTACTGTTGAGGTGGAGAAAATCCCAAACCATAAATTCTAGGATATTCAGAAGATTCGATGTTCTGTCAAAACAAAGTTTGGGTAGAAGTAATACATTCCCTTCTGGGAAGAAGCTGCCTTATATTTGTAGTTAAATATTCACAATATTTACATCTGAAATATTTTGTCAGGTAACAGCTGGTTTTTGCCATTGGTAATGTTCCTAAATATTCACTCTTTTTTTTTTTTAACTGTTCAGTTGTGTTTAACTCTTCAAGTAAGAAGGCCCCAGTAATAAATGAAAAGGTTTGTGATCAGATCACTTACAGATGTATTTCTGAGTCATTTTGATCAAGAAAAGCCCGACGTGGGCACGTTCATAAAAGCTCTGCGTCTTTGCGGAGCAGCGAATGCGCCGGGGGTGATACGCCGCAAACGCAGATAGAGCCCCTGGGCTGTTACAATTCCAGGCTGTGGTGCTGTTGTGTATTTATGCAGGCGTCTTTTCCTTTTTCCTACTGTGTCTGAATTTGGGTAGGCAAACAGTTGTTAGTTTACTTTTTGCATTACTTTCACCTGAAATGTCATCAGATTTAACTAATGAGGAGTATGTGACTGTTCAGCAAAGAGCAAGTTTCATCAATTACTTCAGTCTCCACTAAATGTATTTTTGAGGTAATATGCTACTTTCTACGCTATGCATAGTGGATAGATTAATGGTCAAGTTTGGATGTCACTTCAGTGTTCAGAAATATAGCAAGAGCAGTAGAAAATCCCAGCTGAAAACTGATTTTATTTTGGATTGTGGTCATGCGCACTCGCTGATTTTGCTATTACTAGGTTAAACAAGAAAAGCAGTATACTTGTTATATTCATTCTCCAAAGAGACAGGGCCGCATCTTGTAGTTTGGCACTCTGTTTCTTTGTTTTGGAGGTTGTTTTGCTCGTTAGCAAAGACAGAATATGAAAGACATTTTTGAGTCCAACTCTTTAACTGATACTTAAACATATAACATATCTTTTATACTTATTCACAAATGACTCAGTGTTTGACATCTATTGAAAAGTGCCTCCAATTCTGCATGGAGCCCAGTGCCAATGGATGACACTTTCTGCTTGGAATTCCTTGCAGGATCTGAACTTGTGCTTTTCTTTAAGCGTTTTCAGAAAGCATTATCTCCAATTCTCTGTCATTCTCTAAGAGCAAAGGCTTTTAAATTTCGTGTGGATATATTTGAGAAGACATGGGAAAAATTCCTAGAGGCTTAGTGGCTGTTTTCTTAAATGTTGATGATGGCAGTTTATTAAAACATCAAACTGGATTCATCCATAGAGACTTTTAGATTGAGGGGAGGAGGACGAGGAATAAAAAACGGCATTGGGAAAAACCGAGGCCAAAGAACTCAATAGTATCTTCCTTAGCATTTAACTTTGCACGTATTTGTTTTGTTTAAAATATGTATAGCTCTACTTCACTTTTTTGTTTTCTGGAATTGGGTTTTTTTTTTTAATGTTTAACTGAAATTTTACCTAGTGCTCTTTCCCAAAGAATATGTTCTTTTTTTAGTCCATACAGTGCAGGGAACTATATCCATAGAATATTATTACTTACAGTTATGGATTTAATGTTGCCAGAAGCTGGGGCTCTTTTGTGATAGACTTCTTTTAAATTAAAGAAAATAAAAGTACGTACTGCATCTTTCTTATGGAAATGACTTAACGCAATGGTATTTTGCTACACTGAAAACTAATTACCTTTAGAAGGCAAATATACAGGGTGGTTTTCAGAGTTTAAGACAGGACTTTGGAGGGTTTGTTTCTTAAATATTGAAATGGTAACTGGAAGATGTTGGATGGTGAGATTAGGCTTTATATATGTATTTTGTTGGTTTATTTCTTGAGGAGAAGGTGAATATCAAAGAGGAATTTCAATGTGAAAGAATGGTTGTGTGTGAAACCAGCAAGGACTCGCAGACAATGGTGGATAGACTAGTTGGGGATACTTTTTTTGTTTTCCCTCTTGTTTTTGTTTAATTTTCCTGAATCCATGCTCTCAGCAGTGTTTTCATAACAGAATAGTTAAAGCTGGTCTGTGGTTGTATCACTCAGTGTAGGTGTGCAGTCACTGAAATTACAGTCCTTCCTAATGGAAACACTGCTCCTGCTCTGGGATGCTTTTATAGTTCTTGGTCAGTGTAGAACATCTGGGGTTTTCTTTGTGCTCTGTATCCAGATTTAATTGTTGCAGTCCAAATATTTTTAATATGTCACTTCTATTAGGGGATGTTGGAAGGGTTTTTAGGAGTGTTTGGTTTGGGGCAGTCCCGAGCAGTTTATTTTCTGAAGGCAGTACTGCTGCATAATACTGAGATTTTTCCTTCCCTTCCCTAGAAAACAGATCCTTTTGGGGTCATACTTGTTCAAGTCTGAGATCTGGCTGATGCACCTTTATAAGAAGTTCTGGTCCAGAAAGAATATTTCTTAACTATTTAGTAACAGTTAAAATTTCTTGAGGCTGCATGGAAATGTGGTTGAAGGATCTGTGTTGGAATTAAAGTTACCCAGTTAAAACCTAATAAAAAGGGCCTCTTAGATGTTATTTATTGCTGTCATGAAGTTCAAGTGGTGTGAGTATTCATGAGACTAAGCATCTCTACTCATCAAGACAGAATTAATGAGCGATGGGAGTTCATTTTCCTTTAATCGACAGGAGTTGCAGAACTACCTTCCATTTCCTTTGAATATAAAGTATGAAGCATGGCAGCAAAGTAGTGTGCTCTTAAATTCATTATCTGTTTCAGCAGATCGTTGGGTTTGTCTAATTTATCTGTGTGGCCTTGCCTTCAAACGGCATAGAATAGGAAAATGGTATTTCTCCTATATTCCCCTTGTGCATATATATTGAAGTGATTTTTCTGTGCTGTGTTCCCAGTAACTGGAAGAAGGACAGTAAAAATGATGTGCTCTGCTGTGGCTGTGGGGTCAGTAGATCTGAAGACAACTGCTCAGAGGAGCAAACCAAGTTACTGAAAGCTTCGTGTCTAGCTTTGTCTTGCTGGTTACAAATCTAACGAAAGAATCTGCCCTGAACTTCAAGTAATAGTTTTGTTCATAATTTAGGCGAGCCGTCTTCAGTTTGCGGTACCTAATAGGTCAGAGGAATTGGTGCCAGTGCTCTCACACTATCACGACTGACTATTAGTTGAATTACTGTTCAGTTTGATACAATTACATTTATTCTTTCTGAAGAATAGTGTATTGTTGAACTAAGGTTTTGGAACTGTTTGCTGGAATTTATTCCAATGTACTGGAAATAATTGTTGAAAAATTTAAAATCTGGAATCTTTCAGTCCCTTGCAGGTGGGGCTGTCTTGGCCCAGTGTTGTATTCAAAATAAATTCAGCTGAGCGGGAATAGTTTAATATAAACCAAGATAAGAATGTAATTTCATTCTTCTGTTACATAGTAGTAAGACAAAGAGTAATTAAGGCAGTCATGTGACTATCTGTCGTTAATGTTTAAAGCAGATGCTTGGGAACTGTGGGGTCAGAAAATAAAGTGTCCATATTCCTGTTGTAGCTGTACTCGGAGCCTCAGGGAATTATATTCCCACAATGGAAACAAGGACATTCCCCATCTCAGCATCCTTGAATGTGATTCTAAAGATCACATGGGAAATCTCTGCTCCTCATACTGCTCAGCGAGTTGAGTCAGGATAATATTTTTCTGTGAGACCTATTTAGAGATGCTGCTATCTGTATCAAAACGAGTGCTTTTTGAAAGCACTGTGTAAGCCAGAGGCTGGCAGGAAAGACACTCAAATTTTGGGGCATTATAATTAGGTACCATCTTTAGGTTCTTTACTCAGTGTTTGTTCATAGTTGCATTTTCTCTAACACTGTTCACAGCATAAGCTTCCCTAACACTGTATGCATGAGTGCTGCCTGGTGTAAAAGTTTCCATGACATTGCAGTTCAGTGTCATTCCAGTTCTGCAGGTGGATGGTAACAAATGCTTCCTGGGCTCTAACTCAGCCTTGTTGTCTGTCTTCTGGAGAGTGCTGCCGGAATGTGGCATCCAATGTCTGCGTAGCGTTAGGACAAGAACAGTTGGTCCAGGCAGTAAGTTAGCCGTCCCCTGTTCACTGTGTTATGGACTAAGGAGGTATTTTGCAGAGGCATCACAATGGTGTTTTCTGACAGAAAAGCACAAAGCTAACGGCAAAGGAGAAAATGAAAAAGTCATGTGGTGAATGGTTTGTCCTATCTGAGGAGCTGTCCCGGAGTATACATTATCATTCTCCTTCCTATCTAGGCAAGACATTATACAAATGGAAACCTGGTCAGCTAACTCGTGCTTAAGAGGTTCATCATGCCAGTTGTCACAAGCTTTCTGATTATGCAGAAAGCAAAGTCTTTGGTCTTTGCTGACGATTGTCTGCTTGAAAAGGCATGTAGATTGCATGGCTATGGAGGACTATGTTATTGATTTTCTGTGTTAAATGTACTTAATGCAAGAAATAGTTTCAGCTACTTCATAACATAGATACTGTTCAGTCAAAAATAGCTTTTGGAGAAGAGGTATCACTTCCTGGAGGTATCTGGCACTTTTGAAAAACAGTGATGGGACCTAAGAGGTAATTTTTTTCCTTTCCACTCCTACTTTCTCCCATTTAGATATGTTTCACCTAACTTAGTCTTTGTCCTTTAAAAAAAAAAAAGTGAGCAACTAAAAAATTATATTCTGCATTTCGCTTGTTAAATTCACCTCTTGCTGATAGAAGCCACTGTTGTTTCATGATCGGTTTACTTGAGTCTGTATTTGCTTGCAAGCGTTTTTATGTAAATCGCTGGTTCTTATTCATGCTTATAGGTGTACCCACATTTTTATTATTGACTACTGGGGATTTCTTTTTACAGTAGGATTTTCTTTTGCAATTTAAAATAATTATGGTGCCACATACGGGTTTCATAGGGTTTCAGCCATATTTTAAGGACATCTTACTTTAACATGCTCAAGTATTTGTTCTTTCCCTGTTATGTTCCATTTCTTTTCTAAAAATCTAGTAAGGTTAACTGTTGTTCTTTGTGATTTTTAGAGTTTCTCCTTTAACCCAAATGCACTATAAAATTTTAAATACACGTGTGTGAGTTCAGATTGACATTATAGCACATCTAAGCCACTTCCACATTCTAGATTTGGGCTTCTTTTTATGGCCGGTCCTACTTGCAAATACATTTTTACAGTTGGTTTTGTTTATGATCTTCACACCAACTTCACCCCCTTTGCTTCTGCCTTGCCAAGCCTGTTGTGTAGGGCAGTGTAGGAGGTGGATGCAGAGGGCAGTATTGGCCTTTCTTGCACACATCCTCCTTTTATTTGTTCTTTCACCACCTTTAAATCACTTCTTTTGTTGCTTTGCTTTAACCTGACTTTTGGAAAAGCGGGATTCCACGTGTATTTCAAGCTGGTGCAATATCGAATAGGTCAGTGATATCTCAACCTCTTTGCCAGGCCCTGTTTTAAAGAGCAAAACATCTTGATCCTTTTTCCCTCTAGTCATGATCGAAGGAGAGTTTATAGATTTTTCTCTGGAGCTGAGTCTCCCTGTTAACAGTTGATGTAATACAGCATTTTGCTAGTTGTCTTTTTGAGGTACTTTGTACTGCTCGTGGATTTCCAAAATGTAAATGTGGGGCTTGTTGCTGCTCATCTGAATTTACAATGCCCTGTTCTTGGGTGCTTTTTTTAAAATGTAGAATGTTTCCTCTTGTTTCCTGCCCCCACCCCTCCTTCTCAGACCATAGTGCTTATTAAGCTTGTTTTTTCAGATAGAGCATTTAGGGACTTTTGAGGAAAGCTCACAGATACCTCCTTTGAAGTCTCAAGATAGTCACGTTGAGAATATTGTGATGACTTAAAAAACCGATGCAGTAACGAGATATGGGATGGGGGCAGTTGAAGAGTATCTAGGGAATCTCAGGGGGTTCAGGTATGGGTGATATCCGTGATAAAATGTCATCTGGTCAGGGAGGAGTTGAACAACTTTTTGTGTTTTCCTTAGTTCAAGCTGACACGAGAAGTTGGAAACACCCAACCATCAGATTCCAGGGAAACAGGGTAAGCTGGCAGTGGGCTTGAGGGGAGGGGTAGGGCACAAACCAAATCGTACATTAACTACCATCCAAGGCAGGTGTATTTTAAAGCTGGTTACCATCTCTTTCTTCCTCTACTGTTAGGCTAGTTCGTAGTGCTGTTAAAAATGAGAGAAACTTTGATGTTTTGAGGTATTAGTCCTGCAGATGGATGTGCTAGAGCTCCTCACATCTCAGGGGTGTTCACCTGCAGGTCCGTGTCACTTGCAGTAGGAGACCTAAATTTGCAAGGAATTTATTTTACTGAAGGGGTCCTCTAGCATCTAGATTTCAGTGAACTCTGAACGTGTTTGGAAGTGCTAGTTTGGAGCATGGAAAAGGGGTTCTCCTTTAAGGAAAGCTGTGTGATCTTGTTTGTTCTTTTTTTTTTTTTTTAATCTTAGGCTGAAACCATCTTTTTAAAATACAGCATTTTTACTTTCAAATATTAAATATTCTACTATTTGTGGACTAAAAGATGGAACTTAAGAACTTACTCTGTAAGGAGGCTGTGACATTTCTTTTAAAAAGTTGGTTTTCATACCATGTGCTTGGTTTTTAGCAATTGTGATTCACTGCCAGTTTTGAAAGTGTGACTGTGGAGAGTTCAGGTTGTGCTTTAGTGTTCTTCAGAAAATAAGGTTGGGCTAGGAGGTGGAAAGTGTTACGGTCGACAGAATTGATAAGGAGCTTTGGAAAAACTAAGGAATGTTGGTGAATGGGTAAGATTTTGCTTCATGAAATACAGTAGGGAATCCGTGGAATGGTTTTGGAAGGAATATTTTTAACTTCTTAGTGATGTTATTTAAAGGGTCACAAATGCAGTAGTAACATTTTTGTAAGACATTTTTTCTAGAATAACCATCATGGAAATTTCTGTAAAAGTAGAAGTGGAGGCAAAGATTCCAAATTTCTTTTAATACATTGGTGGAGAGTTCATACAATGAGGGACAAGATAAGAGAATTTTTTTTCTTTGAAAGAGATTTTCAGGTTGTAATGAAAGTTGCTATATTTGGTCTGAGAGGTACGATATCTAAATTGCATAATCTTGCTCAGGGAATTCAGCGTGTGATGATAAATGAGAAATAATGTTAAATAGTAAATGCTGAGAAGAAAATGTAAAGTGTATTGTTTCATTAGATAATCCCTGTCATGTATTTTATTTTATTTTGTAGAGTAAAATAAATGGTGCTTTTGTTATCTAATTAGAAAAGAGTAGTACATATATTAAAGCATGCTGTGGTAGGTAGACTGATGTGTTCTAGTAGCAACTTGGGAATATCTGTGAATAGCTGAATAATCTGTCAATTTAAACCAGAATAATTTGCAGCTTCGTTTTAATTTATTGTGGGGTTTTTTGCGTCTTTCTAACCATAAAGCAGAATAAAGCTGTGGGGGAATTATGTTTCAGTATAACCTGTTGTGATGCATTTGGATTAGTTTTCTGTCCTTCACTAGCAAACGTGCAAGAAGCTGTAGCTGCCTCAGCGATTCGCGACAGAACGATAGACTGAGCTCGGTAGGATACGCTTGCGTGCAAGGCCTTGGGCCGGCAGTTCGGTTAACTTCTGCTCCAAGTTGATGGCTCTGGAATATGTTCAAGTCTTGGAATTCAGACTTCTGTGCACTTGAGTCGCTGTTAATCACAAGGTGGAAATGTGATCTGATTTTTATGTGATAATAGACAAGAAAGACGGGTTCTGGCAAAGGAGCATGGTCTCAGAATAAGATGTCCTGTCGGGATACCGAAACCACAATATAATGGTGATAAGTGCCATAGCAACGCTTAAATAATAACACCACCACAACAGTTAAGTGGCCCGTTGATGTATAAAGTAGCTGTTCCAAAACTTCCGATCAGGATTTCCTTCCGTCTGGGGGCTCATACTGATGTTTGTGGTTTGGATTTTGAGAAGCAAGTTCGTCGGTGGCGCGTGCACGTGTTTCTTTAAACAAGCCTGCTGAAAGAGCTTTGCATTTGAGCAGGGGTGGGTGTGCCGTGCTGCAGGGAAAACCAAAGATGCTCCTGTGGGCGGCTGATGGCCAGGAGAGTTGTCGGGGACCGAATAGAGCTGGTTATCCAATATCAGAAGTTGCCTACATCAGATGGAAGCAGTCTTAAGTTTGCAGAATTGGTCTGTATTAACTGTAGAGCTTTGAGTAGTCAGAAGGACAGTCTGCCAGCCCTGGGCTACGCTTCTGTGCAGCATTCAGCAGTGGAGCTCACATTCTCAAAGGAGCTTGTCAGACCTCCTTGGTATGCTTGTATTAGAAATACACATTCTTGTATTCTCAAAGGTCTATAAATACTTGATCTGGGATATTGTCAGTGGGGATGGTTTTCTGTAAACTGACGTCTGCTTTTAGCTGTAGATGAAAAAATACACTGCAACTAAAATGAAATTTTAGGTTTGTTTCATAGAGGCAAAATACATTTCCGTTTCAAAACTTAATGTTATAGTTAAAATGGGTGATTTTTTTTTTTTAAGTCAAAGGCCATCAATTAATAAAGCAAGAAGAGAGGTGTTGTTAGAAACACCAACATAACATCAAGGGCAATTTACACGGGAGTTGCACATCTTGAAAAAAAATAAATTGAAAGCTTATTTCATGGTTGAAAATATTTTCTGGTTTCAGTGTAATTTAAATGAGTTATTTTCAGTGAACATACGTATCTGAGGACAAATTTGGGGTCTGAAAGTAGAAGCTGTAAGCAATGCTACGCTTTCTTCATGCGTCATGTTATAAAGATGTAAAGCTGCGTGATATGTCCAAAGAAGTAAATAATGTTTTCAGGATCTGCAATTTCATGTTTGTAATGAATGGGGAAAAGTTGCTATTTTTATTTCTGACCAAAACACAGAAAATACACGTTATGTTTTTTCTTGTCTGTTTTTCGTTTGGTATTTTTCTTTCTTTCTTTGGTTTGTTTTGCATAAAACTTTTGAGAATGTTATTTGATGATGTTTTCTAACTTCTAAAGCAGATTTAGAAGAAAGTATCAATGAACACGAGTTGGAGCCTTCACCTCCCAAAGGCAAAAGGAGGGGTCGTAAGGGAAAGCCAAGAAAAACAAATTTAAAAGGGCAATCAGAAGACACTAGATCCACGTCCTCACATGGCACAGATGAAATAGAAAGCAGTTCCTATGTAAGCAGTAAATATGCTAAACTTCTTAGAAGACAGAATTGCATATTTCTTCTCTGCAAATATAATTTTTATTAAAATTTGCATTTGTCTGAGCCTCCAGCTGGTGGCCACAGGCTTTTAAAATGACAACCTTACTTGTAACCCAGCAGTATATTTTAGTAAAATGTTTTTCTTTCAGAGAGACAGGTCTCCCCACAGAAGCAGCCCCAGTGATACAAAACCTAAATGTGGATTCTGTCATGCAGGTGAAGAAGAAAATGAAGCTAGAGGAAAGCTTCATATATTTAATGCCAAAAAGGCTGCAGCACACTATAAGTGCATGGTGAGTAACAGTATTGTTGTTAACCAGCCTATTATGTGAATTTTGTCTGAATTGCTATTTTAGATTTTAATACAGTACCCTCACATGTAATTATGCATGAGTATTGTCTGTGTGCTGATGATCTCTTTAAGCACTGAAGTGTTGCAAAGTGAGCAATTCATTTATTTTCACTGCAGGCAATATGGATAAAAGTTGGCTACGTGCTAAGAGATGGAATTAGCTCAGGGAGACTCTTTAGCTTATTAAAAATGCTCCCTTAGCGCCTAAATGCGTACACAATATTTAAAAAGGAAAACAGCAAACAGTTTTAACTAAAAGAACCCACTCCAAAAAAAAAATACCTTTACAGGCAGGCAGACAAAATCCAGGAAGAAACCATGAACTTCATTAATTTTCTGACCAATGATTCAGGCTGCATGACTCAAGTAGAGGGGGACGTGGAAGTTGTAGAGACCCCTTGTCTTTCGAAGATCACATTTATAGAACTGTCAGCCTGAAAAGGATTGGCTAATTTCAGTGAACATGAGCAGATAGTGCTTTCCTGTGACTTGTCTCGGGGTGAGGTAGGGCTTTGAGTGGCAAACCTCGGTGATTCCTGTTGTATCTCAGAATGAATAAACGGTGCAGTATTAATCGTCTTCTGCGCCTGGCCTCACTAAATGCAGAGTTGGTGTGTGCCAGCAGCGGCCTTGAGTCTTAGAGTATTCTCTGCTACTTTGTGCACCTGAGCGTCAGTTTTAAAACAATTTAAACTGGATATACTGGAATGATGATAGTGGGGATGGTATTTATCTGCTCCACTGTCATCCCTCAGGGCTTTTCAGGTATGTTGGCATCAGCTGTGCTGTGAATCTGAATTTTGTCTATGTCACAGTGAGGGACCTGGAATATTCCTAAGCAGTTCAGTGGTGTAATTGATAGTATTGCCCAGGTATTGCTTTGTGTTTTCATCATGTCATTATTTCTTGTCTACTCCTTTGTCTTTTAAAATACATTTTTCCAAGGCAGCAGATGGAATCAAAGTGGTCAGGTGGGTATCAGAAAGAATACTCATCACACTAATTGCTCAGTTAGCACTGGGTTTTTTGCTAGTTTGTTGGTAAAGCACATGATGTCTCAGATCACAGAAGGGCATGTTCAATACTCAGTTATTCCTGCACATAAAAACTTTTCTAATCACATTGGTGACCTGAAAATATTATGACTTGCTTGTTTTACAGTTGTTCTCTTCTGGCACTGTCCAGCTAACAACAACTTCAAGGGCAGAGTTTGGTGATTTTGATATCAAAACTGTACTTCAGGAAATCAAGAGAGGAAAAAGAATGGTATGTACCTGCAGAACATGATGTTACTGATTCTAGTAAGGTGTATATAGCTCTACCTCCTTCCTTTGGTGAAACAATCTTTCCCTTCTGTTTCTAAACACAAAATTTAAATTTATTGTTACTTCTGGGACAGGTAGCCAGATAGGAATCACCTTAAAAATTCGTGGTGATTAGGCATGTGGTATTTAAGATTCTTTATGTCAGGGTATGTAGTAAATTATTGTAGCCTTCCTGTAGCTAGAAGAGACTGACAGCTTTGGGTCCTGTGTTACTAAAAGCACACTGTAAAATTAGAAATGAACTCGGAGAGTACATTCTTGCAGTGACATGTTTCCAACTGTTTTGATGTTTTAATATGAAAACTTGTTAAGGCCTCGGAGGTGGGGATGTTGGTAAAATGTCACATCGTATTTTATTAAAATTCATCATGTGTTTAAAGTGGTAAGAAATCTGGGGCGTTGCAGAAAAGAAACAACTCCTAAAAATATTGTTCCTTGAAAAAAATAATTTAAGGATCTTCATATGTTAACATACTAACTTCAGTGGCAATAAAATGATCTTGGAAATGCAATAATAGGTGCAATCACATAGCAATTTTCAGTGCAATAGACAGGTAAATCCTAGTGTTCATATTTTAATAGGGTAGTATTACATAGTTTCTGTTTTGCAGTGTCTTTGATTCACTTTTTATTGGAAAGATGATCTGCTAGAGAAGTTACTCTGTTCCAAAATGGTAGCCATAAATATGAGGAACACTAAACTCAATACTAAGAGACAAGAGTCTGCAAGGCTGAACAGTGGCATTCTCTTCTTTCCCCTCCACAGAAATGTACGCTCTGCAGCCAGCCTGGTGCTACTATTGGGTGTGAAATTAAAGCCTGCATAAAAACGTACCATTACCACTGTGGAGTAGAAGACAAAGCTAAATACATTGAGAATATGTCACGAGGAATTTATAAGTAAGGACCTATGTAATTCTTGACTTTGTAATGAAAGTGAAGGTATTTCATGGCACTTTTTCTGCCAAACTTGGCTAGTCAAGTATGTTATTAAAGAATGTTATTTCATTTTAAAAGGTATTTTAAAGTAATTGCTGACTTTGCAAAATACCACAGTTAACTCTGCTAACTTCCAATTCCTGTAGTAGTGTCGTAATATGAGAAATGACAAATTTAACTTATATTTTCCTCCTTGATCAGTCTGTAATTTATATTGAGGAAACCCGGGATAATTTCTGCTGTGATTCCTCCATATTGATATGTTCGGTAGCTTATTTCCCGGGTTTTGGACCATGAAGCGTTCCATACTCGCTACGGGACTGCTGGCGCTAGTGCCAAGGCTGCAGTCGCGTTGCTGCTGCGGCTGTGCCCACGAGAGGGCATTCTCTGAGCAGTGTAGTAGCAGTTCTTGAAAACTAGATTTGATCCAAATTAGCAGTTGCCTTCTGGCACACCTCACAGCTCACTGAAAGTCTGGGTTTCGTTTCATATTTTCAGCAGAAGTCCTCACTGTTTCTTTTCTTGTGATAGACTGTATTGTAAAAACCATAGTGGAAATGATGAAAGGGATGAAGAGGATGAAGAAAGAGAAAGCAAAAGCCGTGGCAAATCAGGCACTGACCATAACGACATTCCTCAGCAGCAGCTCAATGGAAACTAGGTATGGAAGTTACTCCTGACAGATCTGTTACCGAGACTGAAACGCAATATGCATTTATTGTAGTTTATTGCAGTGAAGTATTTAAATCTAGTGTATGCAGATAAGTACTTTTTAATGACATACTGTAGAAAAATGGGGAGGATGTGTTGTTTTTTAAATCCAGCGGACTTTGTACCAGTAAAAGAAGGGAGGCCCTCGTTTCTATTGCTAAATAGAGATGTAATGTCAGAGCTGCTAAATGCTTTTCTGTATGATTTTAAATTTACTGTTGTTTTCGTCATTTTTCAAACAGGTTCAAGGGACAGAGTTATAGAACTGGGAATGGCTAAGACACCATAACTACTAATTCTTTTAAATTGTTTTCTAAAATCAGAAAGGGTTAGTAACTTTGTACTACCCAACTCTGTTAGAAATTTCATTGAACTGCCTGAAACGTTCATGTGTGTGAGCCTTCAGTAAGTGGCAGAGTTTTACATGTCAATATTATGTAGTTTGTAGTCTGCAGTGTCTGGAAAAAAATGAAACACTATATAAATGATATGTAATATGTACAGTGTCAAAAGTTAAGGCAGACATTGAAATGAAGTAAGATCTATATTTCTGGACTGAATAAAAACCTTAAGATTTGGAATGTGTAAGTTGTTTAGTGGATTCCTGCAATGAGGGAAGGTCTTAGCTAGTTTAGTTAACAACACGGACAAGCTCGCGGTGGCAGCAAGCTGGTACTTTGTGAATTTTGCATTTTCTTCATACACAAGTTATGGAGGCTATACATGGGAAAGCCGCTCTCTGTTTTTGCTTGCAAAGCACACAGTAGAAAAGGACTCAGTGTACACCGAAGCACGCTTGAACATTTCAGGTCGTTCCTGTTGTGATTGCTCATTCCGCCCAGCATTGTTTGCGGGAGATTTACTTGAGCAGCTGTTGGTTCTGAGCTGTGAGCTTTAGAACTCATGCCAAAGGGCTGTAGTTCATTCTTCCCCCAAGGACCCGCCTCTTTCCGTGTCCCTGATTTACAAAGAACGCTTCACGAAGTGTGATTAAAACCTCACCATACAAACATTTGGACTCCGCAGCCCAATCTCTTACTTCAGAGAGTTACAACTCTTAACTCACGATGGAATTTAGCCACCATACCTGACATCCATACCTCAGGTGTTCTCTGCTGTGTGGAACACTTCATGTTTTGTCCAGAATATGCATAAAGGTCTCATATTCTGTAAGAAGAATGAGGAAACAACCTTTTTTTTTTCCTAGATTGGTATTTATTTTTTGATCTTATGACCACTATATGAGAAACTGTGCTTGTCATCCTTATTGTTTTAAGTGATTGTTTTTCTCTTGCTCTCAAGTCAACAGTCACGTCATGGAATTCTGCTTGCTAGAGTTTGATGTTCCTTTAGGGAATAATCAGGTCTAGGCTATACCAAACCTAACAGAACAGTCCTCTGACTGCTTTCAAAACACCTTGCCATGGCTAATGGCTACTACCTTCTTCAATTGGTCTGTTAAAGCACGTTCTCAGACTGAAATAAAACCAAAAAGCTGAATCTAGTCCACATGTTTGTCTGTTGCTATCGCATCACCTTACTGTTTGTTTAGGGTTTTGACTTGTTTCACTCTGAACTCCCAACAAAACTTCTGGATCTGAAGGAAGGAAACAAGCAAAATACACTGATTTGACTATAAACTGCTACAGTTCTTCTGTGATTGGTATTGCAAAAACAGTTCATTGTAACACGAGTTTCTGTAGCATTTTTAACTTGTGTTTTTAAAAGATTTAACGTGTGTCATTTGTCTTCTTATGCATTCCCTTAATGTCTTGAGGGACTCAATTACTGTATATTGGAGTTTCTAACATTTTACCTGTTAGAATTCAATCAATTCTGTTTGCTTTCCTGGAGAATAATGCAGTTTTGGAAAGAAATATTGCTGTGTACATAAAATACTCAGTTACTGCTCTAAACATGATGCCATTGATCATTTTTATTTTGTATTTGTAACTTTCAGAATTAAAAGCGTGACTTGAATTGCAATGACAGATCGATTATTGAAACTCTCTATCAAGGCGTTTGGGTTCTCCTAGAATACGAACATTTTTCAGCCACTCAAAACAGTTGTAGAATGCAAAATAACATCCTTCCGTGTTTAAATTACTTCTAGGTTTGTGCCTCAGACATAGCCCTCCCATGCAAAAAAGGCACTTTGTTTGCAGCTACTGTATTTTACCTAAGGTTGCATGGGGTGGATCTGCCAGCATATGGATTGTGTCTGAGACTGAGCTCTAATTCCTGGTGTGGCAGTGGCTTAGTATAATATTCAGTCCAATAACTCATCTGTTGTGAAATAAATGACCCCATTCCATGCCTCAAAGAACCAGAGCAGCACTTCACCTTCGGGTAGCAGAAAAAAAAAAAAAGTGGCTGGTTTACCTGTTACCTCTTTGTTCTGAGGTGGCCTGACTAAACTGTCATTAATTCAGAATTCATGGAAACAAAGTCAAAAGCAAAAATCTTTTTTTTTTTTTTTTAACAAGCCTCAAATTGGTCAAAACTGACTTCAACTCATGGGTAAAAGTGCCTTACAGTGTAAAAATTGTATTTATATGTTCCCAAGTAGCATCACCTGCTGGGGAGTAATTCTGTCGTGGTGTTAATATTTAGAAGAAATGTACCTCAGCAGTGTATTTACTGTACATCTCTTATGTCCTTAATTGTAGTTTTAAAAAGCATGACAATGTATGATAGTATACAACATTTACATCATTTTTTAAAGACAAAATACTGCCATTACTGTCCTTTTATGTGTATTTTAGCTTGGAATTTCAGACAGTCTGTCTGAAATTTTTTTTTTTTTTTTTGGTAAAGCAATGTAATCTTTGCAAGCATATATTGAAGATTATTCTGGAGCATCTACTGCCTTCCCAGAAATGTTAGAAGTAATGAAAGTGCTCTGTAGGTGAAATAGGTATGTTTAAATTAGCTAGTTAAATTAATGCAGCCCATTTGTTACTGAAATTTTTGTTTTTTTAATAGGCACCTTCTGCTTTCATCTCACAGTCAGAGAACTCATGAATTTAACAAAACTTGTCTTATGAAACTGGTTTCACTTTATTTAACTTTTTGTTTGTTTGTTTTGGCTTTTGGGCATTTCCTTTGCTCACGAGAGTAGCGTGCGCTGTTTGAGACGCCTGGAGCCCTCTGAGAAGGGAGGTTTCTTCCCAACTCGCTGTGTCTCTATATTGACAGATCTGTGATGGTCCTGTTCCGAGAAAGGACTGTACCAAGGAAGGACAGGCATCAGAAGGATCTTGTTCAAATAACTTGAGGATCCAGCTGGTGCAATGCCAGAATCTCAAGGTGTGATCAGGCACTGTAGCAGTAAGCTCTGCTGTCACTCCACTTCAAGGAAGGGTGAAAGGCTGGTTCAGCATCAGTGCAGCTAGCTAGGATGAAACAGGTGGGGTGATCAGAAGATCTACTCATTCCGCAGGTGTTGATCCACAGGAGGTTCTGGGGCAAGGCTCAGTAGGAGTTACACCAGCTTAACTCCTGGAGGGCAGCAAGAGGTTTGTGACCCACACTCCCCAAAGTCTGATCTTTAGGTACAAAGAGCTGATCTAGAAGGGTATGATTATACCCAATCTGGCCCTAAAACAAAACAACAAGGAAGAGCGCTTTCTTCTTACTGCTGCCGATATGAAAAATAACTTCATGCGAAACCAGAGTGAAAGGTGAGGAGGTGATTATCTATTTGAAATACCAGACTTACCTGGCAGGTGATAATCAGTGCATTCCAAAAATATTAATATGCTGGATTAGATTGACAAGAAAATGAATCCTTATTAGATAAAATTAATCTTAAATGAACTGAAGGTACATTATAGCAAATAGTAGCTCTTCTTCTGTGTCACCAGAAACAGATCCCACTCTAGTAGTGATGGAGATCAAAAACCAGAACGCAGCTCTGATTTACATACTCATTGAAGCAGTTTCTAGATACACGTATGTATGCACATTCGTTAGTCAGCAGTGACATCTCAACCCTTTAAGAATCCTGGAGAACTGTTGCTTGTCAAAAAGCACTCAGGTTAGGCTAACATCTGCAGCTTTTGCTCTAGCAAACATTTACATTAGGTGTAAAGACAAGGAATGTATGAAAGAGGGTAAATGCATTCCTATCTACAATGTTATGTATATTTTGTTCCTGTTATATTGGCTTTACTTCCAAAGTTGTAGTTTGCAGTATTAGTTTCTTTTTATTGGTAAACTTGCCTATATATATTCAATAAATGAGTTATGAATTTCATATTTGCATATCTGTCCTTCTTCTGAAGTACAACTTTAAAACTGTTGGTTTAATGCATAAATGCAGTTTTCTCTTTTGGGGTTAGAGGCCCATGAAAACTTCACCGGAAGAGAAGTGAGAATGCGTACTCACGGTACGCATCTTATCAGTGGTAACTCTGTAGTTGTGTGTTCTGAACTCTGCAGTGGGTAAGCTGCTTTGCATTTACCACTGCTTAGTAGTGTGAAGTGGCTGACTCGCTGGGGGTTCCCATTCTCACCCTGCAGGAACTTGGTGCTGGTTTTTTTGTGGTATTCAAGAATGAGTTCAGTGTGTTCAATGACTGAGGTACCAAGGGAATGCAGAGTGTGATGCAGTTCCACTGCAGAAGAGGGCCTACAGGATGCGCTTTAGATCCATATAAACGTAGTGTAAGGGATAAACAAAACAAAAGATCGCTTGGAAAATGCTGAATTTGTCCAAATATGTAACTGCCTAGACTGAGACAGCAATACCTTCTGGTGTATGTGCGATGGGAAAAATCCCTAGGCAGAGGGGTACTGTCAGCTTATCAATGAAGACTGCCCTTGCCCCCAGAAAACCCCAACAAACCCACAACAAGAAAAAAACACCGCAAGCCAAAAAAAACTCAACCAAACCAACACGACTTTATACTCTTACGTCATCACTTTCAACAATGAGTCAATTTAATAAGCATCAGACTTACGTGTCAGGAAAACAACTGTCATGCATCATCTTCTGATGGGAGTTGTCAGATGATCCGGTCTCATTCACGAAGTGTAATTATCGACACTGTGATTGCGCATCCCTCTTTGCAAGGGTTTCCTGAACTGCTTAATTGAAGGTTTTCCTTATCAAAGTTGGTGTCTGGGAGTAGTTTCACCGCCTGGATTTTGAGGCCATGGAAGTAATTACTGGTTGCATGTTCACTCTATTCACTGTATGGTGTCTGTGTTCTAATTCAGTCGGCTGGGGTCTTTGGACGAAGTACAGGATAGGGTTGAGCAGCCTTCTCTGTTTCATGGATGCAACTTCTCATGGCATAGCTGGTCACCAAAGTCTGGAAACAACGGAGGAGGAGGGACCTGTAGAGGCAGGAGCAAATAGCGTGGTGCTGGGGCAGAGCAGTGGGCACTTCAAGGGCACTCGTGTCCTCACGTAGACAAGCTCTGCTTATTCAGCCGTGCGTAAGAGACTGCGGCCCAAGCACAGCAACAGTACTTATCCTTGATCAGGTACTCAGGATGGGGAATCACTTCCAAGCATTAGAGACAAGAGGAGGAGGCTGTAAACTCTGAAGGCTCAACTCGTCTCTCTGCTTCCACCCTTCTGCTCGGAACTCTGGGTCATAAAGTGGAAAATTAATGGAAAGGGGAAACTATCGGTGAGCTTCTAAAAGAAAGGCAGACCAAACTCTGTCAGAGTAATGTTGCACCAAGGCAACGAGCTTGAACAGAGAGCAAGCAGCGGGCACAGCCTCACTGGGACTGATGACTTTCCGTGAGATGGTAGGGGAATGCGGACTGACACCGAGTTAAAAGTGAGGTCATAAGAACCTGTTTGGAAACCCCTCCTCAGGGTAATTATTAATGATTCACAGTCAGACCGCAAGGATGCATTGAGTGGAATTCTCGGCAGTTCTGCTCTGGTTTGATATTATTTGGTATGTTCATTAGTCTTTTGGATAGCGTACGCTATCCAAAGGGGATTTGTGAGAGCGGCTTCGTGGTATTTTGCTAGCCGGAGTTAAGTTACGACAGTCAGTTGTAGGGAGCAGCAGAGCTAACTGCTGACTGAGGAGAAGGCACCTGCAATTCCAAATGAACTTGATAAATCCAAAAGAGAACGGGATTTGGTAAGGGCAGCAGTGGCTCTGACAAGTGCGTTTTTGTGCGCAGCAGCAGAAGCAGCCGTGGGCTGAACAAACAGGGTGGGACAGGACAGGCTG